CCCACTAGCGCTGACACACTGGTGCTGACAGCCGTGTCTCCCATCTGCACAGGCATCGATGGCTGCAGGGAACAGGACACCCATCACCCTCCTGTCCCGGTCTCCCCGGGGCAGCCAAGCAGGGACCACTCCAGGGCTTCGAGGCAGCTCCCAGCATCATGAGACAAGAAGAAAAAGTTCCCGGGTGGTGGCCAGAACCAACTAATACAGCTTTGCACTCAAAATACGCGGCCAAAACACCATGCACTTTGGTGGCTGGGACATGCATCATCCGGTGGGTACCCGCTGCCTACAGCTCCCTCCGGTGACAGCGGTAGGTTGTGTCCACATGAGCCCCAAGTGTCCCATCCCAGAGAGGTGACCAGGATTTAGCAATGCTGAGCACCATCCGCAGCCATTACAGACTTGGGAGGCTGTGTGCCCGGTGAACGGAGCACCCAGGCCGCTGGTGGCCTTGCAGGGTCCTCTGCTGTGTTTCAGCTTCCTTTCATGAGACCTGTAACTACACGTCCTCTACAAGAGTTAGGATAAAAAAAAAGGTTTTTACGGGAACAGGTCTTTCCGTCCACGTTGAGCCTGTAGCCTGGGTTGCATTCGCAGTAGAAGGAGCCAGGGGTGCTGACGCAGCTGTGCTGGCAGCCGTGCTCCTGCTCCATGCACATGTCCACCCCTGCAAGACAGAACAGGCATCAGAGCAGCCCATGGGCATGACAGATGCATGGAAACCCCGGCTCCGGCATGTGCCCTGTCCCTGCAGCCAAAACAATTTGGACAACGCCCACGGCCCCAGCCCTTCCAGCCCCAACGCTCACCCCCTGATTCCCAGTGCACAAGCACGGACACTGCACGGGACAGGTTTCTGAACCATCTCACCTTTCTGATCTACCCAAGCATTAAATCAACACTCACTATTAATTGATACCGTTGATAGCTTGAGCTGGGTAAATAAAAGCTTGAGTTCAGTGAGAATGTGCTGAAGGAGCCAGGTCTGCGTGTCCACGTGGCCAGGAGCCCGCAGAGCTGGCCAGGAAGCGGGCACAAGGCAGGCAGGCAATGGGCAGGGTGTTGTAAGCAAAGGCATCAAGCACAAGAGCACATCAGGGCCCCCAAGGACAATATCTGATCAGCCCAGGACCCCTGCCCCAGCAAGCAGGGACCCACTAACACAGCCCTGCAGGCACCCACGCGCCCCTGGCTGGGAAACGCCGCCTGAAAGATGCTGGCAGCTGCCTTCTGCCCCTCGACAGACACTGGAGAGCAAGAGTGAGGTCTCACCAGCCTGCTGCAGTGCCAGGTCTCTGGCAAAGCCTGCCAGCACGGGAGGGGACGGACAGGTCGCAGTCTGCAAGCTCCGAACCAGCACAGCCACAGTGTGAACCAGCCTCCCGGCTCCCAGCCAAGACCGTCTGGACTCTCCAGAGCAGCACCACACAGCCAGGGCTTTATTAAACACAAATGTGCGTGCGGCGGATGCCATGCACGTGTCTGCGTAGGAGGTGACCCTGCTACAGCCAGGTCGAAGTGTATATGGGACTCTGGGACACATCATCTGTCCCCATCACACCCAGGGAAACCAGCTCCACATTTCCTGCTCTTTAATATTCCCATCACTGCTTCCACAACGTTCAGGCTTGGGGCAGAGCTACCAGGCATGGCTGAAGAAAAGCACTTGCTTACAATGCTCTCAAAGCTTTCCTTATCTCATCCCAGGAAAGGTGAGCAAGAGGAAAGGTCAGCAAGAAGAAAGGCCATCTGTCCCCGCATCCCATCGAGAAGGTTGCTTCCCTGTCCACACTGTTCCTAACAAGGGCAGCCCACCCCAAACGCCCCTTTGAAGGTCACCTTCTAGCCCAGGTGAGGAGCAGGCATCAGGACCACCCTTGCCACCCCACAGCTGAGGCTCTCACCCACCGCAGAGCTTGTCCTGGAACTGCTTCCCGAACTGCTGGATGAGCTCGAAGGACTCCACCAGGAAGACGTGCTCCTCTAGTGGTGGCGAGGCCATGGCCCGCAGCGAGTTCATGTCTGCCCGCTGGATGCCCACGGCATAGATCTCAATGCCAGCATTCCGGGCCTGGGTGGCCACCTCAGTGACACGGTCCTGGGGTCGTCCATCCGTCACGATGATGGCGATGCGGGGGATCTTCTTGTGCCGAGGGCGTGCGCCCTCCTGCGTGGTGAAGGCCACGTTCATGGCGTACTGGATGGCCAGCCCCGTCATGGTGCCCTGGGCCAGCGGAACGATGCTGTTGATGGCCTTCTCCATGTCTGCCCGCGTGAAGAATGTCTTGAGGGAGAAGATGTTCTGCACTTGGCTGGAGTACTGGATCACCCCCACCCGCGTGGCATTGGGGCCCACGTCCAGGCTACCGATGATGTCCATCATGAACCGCCGCATGGTCTCGAACTCAAAGGGGCGCACGCTGCGGGAGCTGTCGATGACGAACACGATGTCCAGGGGACCTGTCCTGCACTTTAGGGCTGGAAAGGGGCAAAGAGACAGTTCAGCCTCACAGCTGCCTGCGGGAAGTAGGGCTGGGGGCAGAGACATCCCCGTTGTGAGGCTTGAGGGGGATGGAGAGGGCAGCACCCACAGACCAGCACCTTCCCACTGCCAAATAAACCCATGGAGGATGCCGGCAGAGCAGGAGCAGAGGTGACAGGCTGCAGAGACATGCCCTGGCCGCAGGGCTTCAGGGAAACAGCAGTGTCCCCTCCTCTCCCAACACTGTCCCTGCAGCCAGATCCAGCTCCTGCTCCCTGTATTTCCCCAGCCAACCACCCCAGGGGCTGCGGCAATACCTCTGTCTGCTGGCATCTACCCTGGCAAGGTTCAGGCACAGGTTTAGGCAACGGTGTCTTTATCTCTGCAGCAGATCAGAGCATTAAAGTGTAGAACAGCCCAGCACCTCGTGCTGTCCTCCAGGAGCTGCAGCTCCCGCTCCAGACCTCTGCATCCCACAGGCTCCCGCTGCTACGGTGCCAAGCAGGAAAATACTGCTTTGGGCAATTCTTCTGTTCCCCCCGCAGCTCCAGCCTCCCCTGGTTTTTACTGCATTTTGTCAGTTTCTGCCTAAAACCAGGGCTTGCTTGTTTGTTTTTTTTGTTTAAGGATAGAAAATGAGACAGCGAAAAGCACAGCGAAGGGCACGCACATGGCGGGGATGGAGCCAAAGAGCCCCTCTTAGACATATGGGTGCTACTTCCAGTGCAAACCGGGAGAGTGTTTAGCAAGTGAAATGCCAATGAACATATTTTGCTTGGCTTGTGTGTACCTAAGTCTGGGAGGATTTGGCCCTAATGGTAAGCAAACACTTTGAGTCCCCTTGGGAGGATGCCCAGACCCGGGCTGTCAACTCAACTGCTCCGAAGATCTCTGAGACATACCTGGCTCCTTTCTCCGTTCAGTGCCTTCACCATTTTTAAACTGGAACTGATTTAGCTCCCTCTGCCCCGGTAGGAGAGACGTTGGTACCCCTGGGTTTGCTTTGTTCCCCCCCCACCAGGAGACCCATGCGAGGAGGGGGTTCCCTCTCACACCGGTGCCTCCTGCCAAGGTCGGAGCCCACAGACAGGAGGGTGATGAGCCCTGAGCTGTGCCAAGGCTGAGGACATGCCTGAAGCAAGTGGAACGAGACCTACCATGCTGGGACCACGCTCCCCTGGGCAGCACTGGGAAGTTAGGGTCCCATGCCAGTGGGGGATCCTCCATCCTCCTGGGGATGCCCCCGAAGAAGCATCGGGTCCCCCCACCTCAAGCAGCAAACCATCCTCCGAGGGCTTCGCTGCCCTCACAGACTCACTTCTCTCTCCTCCAGGCAATTCCCACCGGCTGGGGCTCACCTGCAGGTTTTGGTCTGGTTTCCACCATCATCAAGAGAAGCAGGAGGAGAGGGGCAACAAGCAGGAGCTTCATCACGGCTCTGTGAGACCACACAATGCTGGGGGGACTCACTGTGGGGAGAAGATGATGTGCAATCAGTGCTGAGGGTGAGCTGAGCCACAGTGTGACATTCCACTGCGGTGGGTGTCCCCAGGCAGTGCCAAAAACCCTGAGCAGCAGCAGCAGCAGTTTTGACAGATCTGTCCCCAAACTCCTCTGAACCCACGTGGGACATTCCCCATTCGAGGACTGGCAGTCTCGGCACAGCTAAACTTCATTACAGTAGCAACGATCTGCCAAAGGGTCTGATTTTCTGCTCTGGGTGGAGCTGGCCATCGGACAAGCCTTATTTTCACTTGCAAACCAGGCGGATGGGATGTTCAGCCAAATGCTTTCTCACTGGCGGTGCAGCTGCTCTCCGCAGCCAGCCGGAGAGCAGGAACGCTGCACCCGGGGACGCGGAGCATCGGCCCTCCCAACACTCCCTCCGCTCAGCAACGTGCTGGGAAGAGAAGCCCCCACATGAAACGCCAGCACAGACAAAACCTGCTCAGAAGTCTCTCAAAGTCACTGGCAAAGACCATTTTTCCAAGAAGCTCCATAGATTTATTCTCTGCCTTTTTCCAGACTACCTCTGGAGAGCAGGGAGCAGAAGCCTCCGCAAGCACAGGGTGTAAGGGTGCCTGTGCAGACAGGCTTGCACCCATTCCCCTGGGGCAGGGTGCTGGAGGAAGCCCTGCCAGGCTGCTGCTCTCCTTCTTCACATCACCTGGGGGACCTCGCTGCTCTGTCCCCAGCGTTTTGCAGCTCCCCTTGTCCTGCTGGCTTTTCCAAGGGATGCCCTGCATCCCAACAGTTTTTCATGTTTTTGAGGTGGAATAGTTGAGGGAAAAGATATTCAGATCTTCCCTTGCCTTTCTCTGCCCTTGCCTGGCTCCTGCAGGGACATGGATTTATTTGGTTTATTTTTATTCCAGCTCTGGTTAGACATCCAAGGTGCTGGGGTTGGAAATGCCACAGTTAATGCAGCTTCCCCTGGGAGACATGCAGTGCCACAATCGGGCACAGATACTGGAAGGGTGCTTTTAAGAAAAGCACATGGAAATTCATTTTATCAGTAGTTATCAGCTGATATTTATTTAGCCCCAGGAGGTCTCAGTTGCAATTCATCACCGGGGCTGCCATGTAATCGCTCCGTGGTTACGTGCAGCCCAGCACCTCGTGTATTTGATAGCGGGGACACGGATAATAGGTTTCACAGCTGCATCTTAAAATTGTCTCCAGGCTCAGTGTTCACACCTGAAAAATTATTCTGAAGAATTAGAATGACAGAAAAGGGCTACAAGAGGAAACTGGGATTCAGAATACCAGTGTCAAAGTGGGAGACCCGGGGAGCGTGAGCGGCCTTTTCGGCCCGGGACATGGCGGCTCTGCAGCGGGTGTCAGGAGCTCCTGCAGAGCCGTGCAGCGAAGGGGTTGGCAGGATCACTCCGGGTTGCGGAGATGAGGGGAGGCTGCAGCCAGCAAGTGTTTTCTAGGAAGCTGCAGGGCTGGTGTGAGCATCACTTTGTGGCCAGGAGTGGTCAGGAGCCTGTGCCCCCTCACAAGGGCACCATGTGCAAGTGGAGGAGCAAACAGCCCCTCCTGTCCTAGCTTTGTTTCCTCATCTATTCAGCAGATTCTTTTTCCAGCAGTGCTTTTTTTTGGGAGAAAGCACTCACTAACCACTAAATATTTTGGGGACAGCTATGCCACCTATAACGTTCCTGCAGCGCTCTGCTCTCCAAGCTTCCCTGCAACAGCAGGCTGGCACGCAGCCTGTGTCTCGCAGCATCCAGAGAGCTTCAAAGCCAGCCCAGAGAGAGGAATGAGCTTTTGGGCCAAGAACCAAGGAAGAGAAAACCAGTTCACGACTGATCTATTTTTAACAGCATCTCAGCTTTGGATGAAGTCTTGGCCCTCCCCACGGCTGGAGGGGCTGATGCTGCCTGAACAAGGCAGGGCTCAGCGGCTCAGCTGTGCATCCAGCACCGGTCCTGGCAAAGATACCCAGGCTGGGACAGTGCCCTGGTCCCCAGTTCAACATAACCCCCAGCCCTGCCCCAGCCGCAATGCTGGTGGGGACAGAGAAGCAAAGCTGATGTGACAGATGTCCCCAGGTATCTCTTCCATCATCCCACGCTGGGCAACTTCTCCTGCTACCTGCTATCCTCACTCCCCCGGGGCTGGCAGCACTGGGGCTGACTTGGAGCCCCATGGGGGGGAGGTTTCCCCCCTGCCCCCCTGAGCCCCCTGCTACCACCCGGGAATGGGAGGGAGATGGATGGGAAGCAAGCGGCTGGCAGGCAGGTGCTGCCAGGTAAGGCAAACACAGCACCAGCTGCACTGCCGGAGACCTTGAGATAACGCTGAGCTATAAAGGAAAAAAGGTCCAGGCAGGGTGAGCACTGGCCAAGCTGAGAGGGACACCCGGACCGTCCCCCAACTGTTTAGGGTAACGCAAGGGGAAAACCAGCTCGTTGCTTGTCTCTGCTGAAGGAGATGCTCAGTACATGGTGCGAAGAGGGTGACCAAGGGAAGAGCCACATGTAAGGATAGGAGGGTCAGCAACAATACCAGCCTCCTCTCAGCTCCCCCTGTGATCTCAGACAAGGAGGACATGGAGATGAATCCCCAGAGGCAAACAGGTAAGCCAGCACGCCTTCCAGGCACCTTCCCTGGACACCTCCGCCAGCACCGCTGCATCCCTCCCTGCTCTGCCGCTTGTCCGTCTGCTCTCCCTGCCAAGTGCTGAGTCTCAGGAAAACCAGCCGCTTCGGGTTTCAGCGTGGCCTGCTTGGCAGCTCTCTCCTGGCTACAGGTTAACAGAAATACTCCGAATATGTGGTTCATCCGCGCAGGTCGGACCTGGGCGCATTCTGCCTTGAGCAAGCCCAAGGGACCGGGCACAGCAGGGAGCAGGGTGAGGGATGCTGCCAGCTTCGTACCCTCATCACTGTTAGAGGGATCGGGGGTTTATATATTGAATTGTAGAGGGGATGAAGCAGATAGAGAAAGAAGGGGTGGAAGGCTCAGGAGGCGGCGGTGCATTGACAGCCCAGGAAAAGCCCTGACTGTAGTGTCATGAGGAGGAAGGCAGGTTGTGGACCATGGCTATGGAGTAACAGGCGAGGCCTCAGGTACAACCACATGCAAGATTTCATACACCTGGGCACATCAGCCTTTACCCGAGATCTCTGTTTACGGCAAAACCACACAACTCCAGGCACCTGCCTGGGCTTGGCAGACCTTTGGCTCGTTGTGGGAGCAGCAGCAGCATCTCTGCCCTGGCTCCAGACCCCACAAGAAGCCAGGGCAAGGGATCGCAAAGAGTGGGGCACGGCCTGGGGCCTCTGACCACGCATGCCGTTTCCCAACACAAGCAAAGCCAGAGGGCTGCCCCTGCAGCATGCCTGTGCACGGGAGGAGGCACACACAGCATGCTTGGGCACGCACGCCAGGAGTGCACTGCACTGATGCCACATGTGCTATCAGCTAATAGCACGTATTTCTGTGCTGGAAACCTTGGCTGATGGTAGAGCAGTTCTAGATGTGATGTTCCTCAGACTCACCCCCCTCTCCATGTACCCTGCTTTGTTCTGCAGGACTTTTCTTTGCAGAGACCCAACCAGGCAGTTTTGGCAGGCCATAATTCAACTTCCATATCAGTGTTATTTGATGAAAGTGTCAAAAGAAAATCCCCCAAAATAGGCTCAGGAGCCTGGACACAGACTCCTTGTGCTTAGAGTCCTGCCAGAACAACAGCAGAAAGACAGCAAGGGCTGACGTCAGGCTGGAGGATGGGGGTCCAAATGTTCATGTCCTCAGCAGGACAGCAAGTCATCCTTCAGGTCCACGTCTGAAAGAAAGACTGACCAAAATGTGCATGTGGGACCAAGAGAGGATAACTGAAGCATGTCTTGCCCCAGGCACGGGGGACAATGACGCAATCACAGCTACCTGGAGAGGTGTAGATGACTTACATCAACCTGGAGGCACCTCTTGATGTCAGATTTTGCTGTGGAAAACCAAGTGGACCGCTGGCACATTATCTACATACATTTGCAAGACCCTCAAGCTGTGTGAACAGATGAGGCTTGGGACAGCCCTGGAGCTGGATCCACCTTCTCTTGGAGGGTTGCTCAACTGCTGGTTTCTCCCAACACAAGCCACAATCTCAAAGTGCTCCCTGCCTGCAGGTGCACGGCTCTGAGCAGTGCCTCTGCTGCCCGTGAGCACTGAATCCACCCTCAGGACCATTTAACAGGCAGGGTTGACCTTGCATTCCATCACAGTTCCAGCATCTCAACACTCATTCTCCACAGCGGCTGGGTGATGAGTTGCAAATCCTACAAGAGCAGACAGCAATGCAGTTTTGAGAGCAAGGAAGTCCCAGGGAGCACAAGCCCGTCAAGACCAGGAAAATGGCATGAATTTCCAGTCCAAAATGTTTTTTCTCCCCTTTCTAAAGACTGGTGTGTCGTTGGTTCTTCCCAAACACACATGTGGGAGAACAAGAACAGACTCTTTCCAGGACATCACAGTACTCTCCGGTTACAACGCTATGGCAGCTTTACTGGGCCAAGTGCCACCTGGAAGGACACGTTGTTTGAGAAACAAGGCTGCATTTCTCCAACAGCACATCATGGCTCCAAACCCAACAGGAGCAAATCGGCAGGAGTGCTGAAACAGGAAAACCTTGCTGGATGTGGAAGGGA